AGGTAACGCGTTGTAATGACCTAATGAGAAAATATGTAGTTAGGGGTTAATTTAGAACTGTACATTATGAGGTTGGGCATCTGTGGAGCAGTGTCGGGGCGAAAAACAAGTTATTTATTGCACTGTTCTAGTCATACTAAAACGCATAAAATGGGGATGACTGAATGTAAAATATGAGTACGACACACTAGTGGAGCAAACAAAAGACTAATTAAAAGGGGCTGGAGGCAATATTTGAGTTTTACCATTGATTGAACGTGACCACAATATGGTCTTTTAACGTTGTACTAGAAGTACGTGATTTGAACTATCGCCACTTTACACGTATCTTATTTGAAGGCAAATAAAACCATTGCGACCCAAAAACCTAGCAAATTCGACAAAAAAAATAAAGATTTTAGGAACTCCCAAATGGCCCGTATTCTGAGAATCACCCACCTGGTATTAACTGGTACATGCGCTTGTAAATGTTCCCTGACGTGAAACAGTCATAGACACCATCGCCTTGATGTACTGATCCACCAAGTAATACTTCATTTACTACATCATCATGTTTCAGGTACCATTTTAAAATGTCTAACACAGGAATGTAATGGTACACTTCCTTAACAGCCTCTTCAATATTAATTGCCTCCCCTGAATCAGTTGTCTCGCAACCAGTGGGCTCATAATCATGCCCCTCTTCATCATCATTCCCATCATCAATGAGTGCCTCAATGTCCTCATCCGGCTCGGCATCATTAAGTGGGTTGCAGTCAGCAGCAATGCCCTCAGCCTCCGATACGAGATCTACTTCAATTGCCTCAATGTACCCTAGAGACTTAAGCCGAGCATCTTCTCTGTGGGTAGATATCTGGCATATCTGGTTAAGCTCACCACACAGCATAATTGTTCTTAGGTCCACATCGTTTGGATACTCATTACCAGATGTGTATTGGAGTAAGGAAGAACTCCATTTGTGCTTTACGTATCGGAGAACATCTACATACTCCTGATGCAAATTACGAGCAACTCGCCTTGGAATCCCATATTTGTATCTCATCCGCAAATAAAGTGCTGGAATCTGTTTTCTAATATTATTCATCATTTCATCATAGGTAGAAACCGCGGACTGGGTTGCATTCGGCCTAATATTTTCAACAGTCTCGAGCTCATTTGAAACAGCCACTTCTTGAGTAGTCAGGTTAGGTTTAACATGGTTTATTGTGTTTATACTATTTGGTATTGTCCCCGCAGCATTCCACTCAACTTTGTGCGTTTGCAATACGTGATTTCGCACTGATTCAGCGGTATTTAGTGTACAGTTGCATTCAGCAAAGAAACATTTCATGCCCAAGTTACGATCTAAGCTGTGCTGGCTTCGCATGTGATTTACAATGTTCCTCAGATTCTCGGCTGATTCATGACACCAGCTCACGCTACATTGAAACATTTTTAACAAGTAATAGAATGGCCTCTTCTTCACATTACAGTTTCTACGACCTTTATCCAGTTGGGTTTTAATGGCTAACTGAGGTTAACTGACTTGTTCCCATACCAACGCACTTTGCACTAAATTCTTTGCACATTACTTACGCCCTCATTGTTCTCATTCTCCATGACTGCAGTTACCAATTGAACTTGGTAATGAAACTCTTCTGGCGAACACAATAAAATGAATACTCGTTACTCGCGGGACTCTTGATTTTTGTTAGGCTTGGCTTGGCTTGGTCCCGGCTCCAGGCTGTGCGCGGGCTTGGCTTGGTGGTGGCGTTGGCTTGGCACAGTCTTTTGTTTTCTTGCCACCAAGATGGCTGACACAAGCTCAACCTACCAACCCAAACAAAATGGCTTTTCGGGTTAAATAACTAATTGCAGCAATCAATTCACAAATAAGGTTTATTTCCATAGCAAAACCGTTTTATTAATTGTCCGAATTACAGCCATTAAAAAATCCCTAAAATTAACGGATTGTACCATTTAATTTTTGAAACATCAAGTTGCACATATTTACATTGGTGGGAAATGTAAGCACCATAGCACCGTTTAAACGTGATTAATGAGCAGGGAGAGTAAAACAAATGCAATAGATACACAAATTGAAAACAATAGCACTTAATTAAAAACTTATGAAAGGTCAGTAAGGAAGTAGGCTTTTAAGGGACTTAATATTTCTTCTACCACTTTTACGACCCAAGCTTTTCCTAACAGTTTTTTCTATTAGTTACGGACAGAATTCCATTATCTGTATAATGGCGAGGAAAACCTAAAAAGAGACATTAGAGGTTTAATTATTTCATAACAACTAGCTGCAATTACAAATGGGATACACGTTTTTACAAACCAAAAATAAGCTCTTCCTCTGTGACACTGAGGTTCCTTCTGGTGCCATCAGGCAAAATTACAGGCAGCTGTTTATCGCGACCTACTCGTTGCGAAGCACTTGACGTTGTCAACGTTCTTATTGTATCTGATGCAGCTGTGAGCCCAGGAACCAGGAAATCTTGAAGTTTAGGGGGGGAGGCTCCACCTCTTCTAATGGGTCCATAAGACCTGGGATGTTGCCTGGATCATTGCAATAAAACTTAGGAAAAAGCTGACATTTGCCATAAAAGTTTTGTGACCTGTTAAAACTTACCCCAAAACTGCCTCTTGCGTGGCATACAAGTGTGCCTGGATAAGCACCTGACAACACTGCTGCATTCTAGGGCCGTATTGATAGTCATCTTGTCAGCATTGTCCATGTTATCTGTGGACTCACAAAACCAGAAAAAAGGCCTGTTGTGCTTCTCAGCTGCTGCTCGTAGGTACTTCATAATTCTCTCAATGTCAAAAATTAATCGTGCTGAAGATCCATTGGCGAAGTGTTTGCGATTTGGGTTGGCCCTCGACAGTTCGTTACACGGTGGTCCCCCTGGATTGACAGTCACAGTTTTAAGATATGTCTCATTTTTAACATTGAATACAAGAATATATGTAAAGTTTATTCACACCTAAAAGGAGATCAATGGGGCCAATACATTCCAAAACTGCATTTGTGATCCCTTTCACACATCCAAGCAGGGTGATTTTATCATGGTAGTGGTACCGGAGGAGATCAATTGCCTTTTGATCCACCTCGCTAGAAAAGTATTCTGCCATGCAGATTCGCAGATTTTCGAGACACAGTCTCCCTGTACCCAAACCATCACACACAGAAAGAACACGTTTGGGTTTGAGTTCACTGCTGATGGGTCTTATTGGATACAATGCAACTGAGCATGGTGAACAGGGAGAAACCTCAGGTGGGACAGGTTCGGAAATAATCTCCAGCCCAACATCACTCACAGCTGCTTCAGGGCCCGATAACATTGGTTTTCGATTCCTTGGACTAAACTATAAAAGGCAGCAATAATTAGGACCTTTTAATGAAAACTTGCACACACATTTTACAAATTAGAATGTATCAATTACGTACCGGTTTTTGTCTATATCTGTACCCCTTAGGCGGTATACGGAAGAGACTCCTGTAGCCTTTTCTACCAGTAGTCTTCATCCTAAAATACAAGGATTTAAAAATAAAAATTGTTATTACGATTTGAATGTTTTAATGCCACTTCGTAAATGAGTTAAACCAGTTTCTTTGGCCACTAGCAGAAAATAAGACTCTTTGATCAATAGTGCAACATGCCTTCAGATTCTTTGATTGGTCATCACAAAAAAATTTAAAAAATGAAAACATGGACATATGTGTTCATTTCTGGCACACCATGTAATTCTGTCATTAGTTGTAAACCTTTGTGTTTCCCCACATAAATCTGTTGACATTATATCACTCTAATGCCATAGTCAATGCACAATGAGTCTGGTGAAGAACATAAATTATTATCAATATTTGAATGTTTTAATGACACTCCATGTATCATTGAAGCTGGTTTTTTGGGAACTTTTGTCTCTATCAGAAAAAAGAAATAAACCTTTGAACTAGTGCCATGTACATAAAGCTTCTATGATAGATCAATGCAAACAATTAGAAAAAATCTAAACATGGACGTATGTGTTCTTTACCGGCACACCATGTAAGTCTGTCATTAGTTGTAAACCTGTGTGTTTCCCCACACAAATCTGTTGACATTATATCACTCTAATGCCATAGTCAATGCACAATGAGTCTGGTGAAGAACAAAAATTATTATCAATATTTGAATGTTTTAATGACACTCCATGTATCATTGAAGCTGGTTTTTTGGGAACGTTTTTCTCTATCAGAAAAGAGAAGTAAACCTTTGAACTAGTGCCATATACATAAAGTTTCTATGATGGATCAATGCAAACAATTTGAAAAAATCTAAACATGGACGTATGTGTTCATTTCTGGCACACCATGTAATTCTGTCATTAGTTGTAAACCTTTGTGTTTCCCCACATAAAATTGTTAACATTATATCACTCTAATGCCATAGTCAATGCACAATGAGTCTGGTGAAGAACA